AAAAAAAAAAAAAAAAAAAAAAAAAACCTAAGCTCTTTAATTCTCATTCATCCTTTGGGTCAAATTTAGGTATCAAGAGACCTTGATTGACAAAGTCTAACCTGTTTATTCTTTTCTTTGATGGGGATATTGTTTGTAATTCTACGCTTGTGTGAAAATTTTTTTCCTCACTTCTCATTCTATCTATAGATAAATAAGTAACACGGAGTAATTAACAGAGGTAAGATAACAAACAACATAACAAGTGTAGTATAGTGTAGTACTACCAAAACTAACAATTTATGCAAGAAAAAGAAAACTATATTTCCACTAAAACACAAACAAGAGATGGAAAATTGCACCAAAAAGTCAGGATTGGTGGCTTACTCTTCTCATTCAGTCGGTTTGATGGGATTTTTTTTTTCCCACTAAAACAAACAAGAGATGGTACCAAAAAGTCAGGATTGGTGGCTACCCCATTTTTTCACTACCTGGACGGTTTCTAACCACTTGCTTGGTAAGACTGCAGCGATTTTTTACTTGTAGAATTAATTTAAAGTGAAAATGACCATGAAATAATTGAGAAAATTGGTTGAGGCGGCTGATGAGGTATTATCAAGGGTTAACTTTTAAATGTTAATTATTTAATACTATCTAAATAAATGTTTTAAGTTGATTCTAGCCGAAAAAGAATTTGATCCATTTATTATTAGTCCATTGTGAGGCTAAACGTACTCATTAGTCAATTGAGAATTTGAGGGTTTTTAATGTTTTTAATGAATCTAAGGGTATTCAATCATGATTTTAAGTGATTCTCTGAAATTCAACGTGTATTCAATCAAATTTTTAAGATAATATTAAAATCTTTAAAAATATTTGTATTCAATTAAGATTTCAAAGAGTTTATAGCATTCTAGGTGTATTCGATTATGAATTTATTTTAAAGAATTTTAAAACGTTAAGGAATTTGAGGGAATTTGAGAGCTTTCGTATTACAATTTATGCATCACAAATATCACCTCTTCCCTTGAGATTTTGAGATAGTTGAATCAAAAAATTTCATGGAATCTATACAAATAAATTAAACTCCCGTAAACTTCATGGATTTATAAATCCATTAATATCTCCAAAATATACACCCCTAAATTTGTAGACAAAGTTTTGGAAACTAAAGAACATAGAAGTTGATGATTGATTTATTAATTAACGTTGATAAACATGCTTATTTCTATTAGTGACACATCAATTAGTGTGTGCAAATTTAGTATACGAATTTAGTCTCCATTGCATTACCCTTATGAAATATATGTCGCAGCTTTGGAAATTTTTTTTTTTTTCAATCCATAAAAAAAGCATTGTTAAATTCAAAATTATGTGAAAGAATAGTCTCAAAAAACTAAGAACAAGACGTAGGAGACACATAATTGGAACAGAAAAACCCTCGGCCTGGTTTTATTAGCTTTCCCAAAGAAGATTATGTCTCTTTTCGCCAATCCTCTCTTTTAATTATTTGGATAATCAAATAATATTTAAATTGCATAATCAAACCAAGAAAGTAAAGAACCAAGAAAGTAAAGAAACGATAAATTATTTGATCAGTCGAGGAACGAAAGTATCTCTATAAATAAATAAACAGTTGTCTACAGAGCCAAAACAAAGACTAAAAAAACGAGTAATCCACAAGAAGAGCTGAACTTGGCCAACACCAAAATGAAAGGAAAATTTGACAACCAAAAACATGTGCAAGAAGACTGGACTTAACAGTTACGAAATTTCAAGGAAGCTCACTCTCGATGTGTTTGTGAGAATTAATTTAAACTAAATACTTTTCAATCCCCTTATATATAACAAAATAAATAAATCATGTAACAAGCACATGTTCGTGAGTGAAAAGTTTGAATATGAGTTGATGATTACTTGTAAAATTACTGAATACAGTAGGCAAAATTACTAGCATCATTCGTATAACAAAATATCATCGGATTATTCACAATGCTAAAATATTTTATGAGAAATTTTATTTCAACCAATATAACTTCACACCAAAATCACTCACACCAAAGTAGGAATAGACGACAAAGAGATGGGTATTTTTTTTTTCGGGTTTTTTTAACTTAATCCTTTAAGAATATTGAAATTTAAAATAAATTTTGGGGTTTTTTACTTTAATTCCTTGGAACTTGCACTATTCGTGGTATAAATGGGGATACAAACCCTTGCAGGTGTCTACACCCTAAAACTCAAAAAACACATCGTACTTCCATCGAGGAGCTGATCGAGAGAAGAAGAGGTGCAGAGGCTCTTTGGGTGCTCATCACCATTGCAAAGCAAATGAAAAGTGAACGAAAAACCACGACGAAAATACTCACAAAAAAGTAGGTGCAGACCAAAGAGAGGTTTTGGGGAAAGGAAATAATGGAACTAGAAGAGAAAAAGAAATAAAGTTGTAGAGAAGCCAAGTGGGACAATACGAATCGATCCAACAAGAAACCACAAAATGAACACCAACAGACTTAATTGACAAGGAAAATTGCAGAAACAGATTGAAAAAAGTCAGTAGTGAACAGGCTGCGTTATATTTAGGAGCAAAAATAATTATCTTTTTTGGGGCCCCATTATTCTGGACAGTTTCCAACTACTTGCTGGACGGCTTCCAATCACGTTATACATGTTATACATATCTCTTTCAAGATTTTCACACTTCGGTCAATTTACTGTTGGGACCCCACTACTTTTCTATGCTTTATCTTTTTCAAAGCTACAAGCTTCTTCTTTATTGATTTGACGGTAGGTTAAAAGGAGTAATTTCTTCACTCTTCCGAGTTACTCAAATTACCCAAATAAGAACACCTTTCGTGTTTGTCATTGAAAAGATTATGAAAATACTTTCAGTTTGAATTCATAATCTGGAGAGCCACTATCTCGTGCACCGCTAGCAGAACTATCACTACGACTATTTGATGTCAAGTGCTTGCCATCCTGAAGTACCTGAAAACATGATAGGCAGGCAGTCATTCAACAGGTGTACTTATACATATCGAAATGTAAGAGAAACTTTCATACATCCGAAGTCTATGTGCGTGTGTGATTTCACCATATAAAGGTTGGATGACTACAATAAAATCATATGAACTGAACTATAAGGTTGGATGACTCATTTAGAATTATATATATATATATATATATATATATATATATATATATTAAACATATAAAGTAATAACAAATAAGATAAAAAAATGTCTATAAAAAAAGCCAATCCAAAAATTACAAAGGGAAAGAAAAATATATATTAAATATGGAAAAACACTATGTCTATGCAAGGAGAAGTTTAATTTCTTTAAGAATCAAATACTAAAATTTAAATAAAAATAATAAAAGAATCTTATCATAGTATTTCAGCATTTCAAATTTAGCTCAAAAGCTCCAATACAGCATGTTGATGCCTATATAACACAGATCACTGCAAGACAAGAGAAAACATAAAATTTAACCACAAAAGAGGTTTCTAAGTAGGCATATTTACATCAAGGTAGAGGCCTCCATCACTCCATCCGTCAATTTTCGAACGCCCACCTCTGCCGGAGGAAATTAGTGCTTTAAGGCCTGCAATCCACACTTGCGCCTCAACTTTCCTTGCAAATCTCGACGCAAATAACAGATTATCATAAATATTGTTATTATAAATAAAAATAGGAAACAATGTAAAGACATAATTTTGAGCTTCCACCACTAACCAGATCAAGAGACCGCTTTCCGTTATTGCATGGAAGAGAAAATGATAAATAGTCCTTTTCAGGACGTAAATATCGTTGAAAGACAGCCTGTAACAAATTTTGGAGCAAGATGAAATTAGAATAAGCATCGCTAGAAGACTTAAATTTAAACTGCAGTAAATCTATGCCAATCATGTACTAAAAAATTATATCAAATTTCTCACAGTTCTTTGTCCAGGAACAATTCTTGTGACAGAAGCCAACTTCAAACTTCTTTCGCTACTGAAATCCCGATCAAAGTTGATTCGTCCTGAAATTATTAAATGCAGCAGTACGTAGAAATAGAAAGAATTTAAGCAGACAAATTTGTGAATTAAAATACAATAATATAATCACAAGCAAGAACCATAGAAGGGCATTGAAATGCTATCTACACAGAAGGCCAGTGAAATGCTTATCCCATTAGGCAGTATTTTACAATGCATACTCAAAACACAAAAGTTAGCATGGTATGCAGCAACGTAGCAGCACAACTATGTCAACTGACATTTAAACATATTCCAATACCTTACAAGGTGAAATGTATAGTCTATCAAACCTTCGTAGCTATTAATGATATGTTCTCCAAGACTATAGACCATATTTTGCCTTGACTGACCTCAAACTACACTACGAATAAGTTCTCAAATCTCTCATCCAAATTAAATATGCCATAGAATCTGGCAAACTGCCTACTGTAACCTTTGGTTCCAATCTGCCATATGGATCGGAACCTAAATTAACTCAGATTTCCCCTTCAGTTATTAATTTATTAGCAGAAGGGAAACTTGAGAAATTTTATCTTTTCCGTTATAAGCACAAATGGAAATTGTATGCTTGTGGGAGGAAGATAGAAATTACCTAATTGGCACTACATTACCACTGCTAAGCAGGAATTCAATTAAATATGTTTCGTAGCATTCTTGACTTCATCCTTTTACAAATTTTACTATCTGTTCATGCAGGAATTGTGGAATAAATTTTTTATTTCAACCTTAATAATTGAGCACACCATGTTCTTTTCCTTCCATGGAGTGGACAAACCACCAATATTTTAAAAATAAAAAATAAATCCTAATAGAGAAGCTTTAGATACAAACTTACAGTAGAAAGTCTAAATGGACAAAACTTAGGCTTTCCCTTACGACCATATTTCAGTAGTTGAGCACCCTCCTTCAAGTAATTATTGCCTGAAAATCATTTAATCATTCAAAACATGAGAAAGATATGAAGGGCGGATAAACGCTGTATGAACTAAACATAGGACCATATCAAATGCTCTTCTAATTATAACGTTACCCTGAACTCCATTACCGCATATAGTAATGACTTTTTAACTTCCAATTCAAGAAGCACACCAACTTAGTTCTCATTCAGTTACAAGTTACAACCTTCCAAACATATCATAATTCATAACTGTTATCTGCGACTTAGAGAATAAATCGCTAAATCCAAACTTTTAAGATATTAAGAAACCCTACGCGTCTTCTAAAGTTACTATAAAAACCTGTTCCAACTAGAGCAGGTTTTACACCTGCGAGAAAGTAAAATGTGGTTTTCCATGCAATGCCATTTCCATTAGATCACTCTGTCGAAATAATCACTAGGCATTTATCGTTCAAAGATGTCCGTACTTTAACTATGCCTCGGAGCAAAACCAGTGCCGAAATGGAAAATGCACTGGGAAAAATACAAAATTAAAAAAGGTTCGAAACTTTGGCCCTGTTGGTTCTGTAAAAGCACCCATACTGCATCCATTGAGCCAAAACGATGAAACCCAGAAGTGATCCTCAAAACCAAAAACCTTGAGAATGAATATGTTTCCACTAATTATATCTAAAAAGTTGTATGTCAATTACCAATCAAAATTCCCTCACATTTTTAACATGCCTGAAGATTATGTTCCCAGTAATTAATCTAGAGAGTTGGTTTCAATTACCAAATCAAAATTCCCTCACATACCTACAAACTTAAAAGTATCAGCAAACACTAAAGAGCTTCCATCCAATTTCCACTTTTTCGAGGAGGGAAAAAAACAAATCTTCTGCTTTTCTAAGTAATTAAACAGACAAATGATTAGGAATTTATTTCATTTTCTTTGTATTTTTTGATACATTTGCAAAAACAAAAAAGAGGCAAAGAGAATTTAGAGAGAAGAGACCGACCTGGTCGATGTCACGGTTGGCATTCCCGTAGCTAACAAGATCTGCCATTCCATGTGACAGAAATTACCGTAACGCCACCACCCTCTCCGATCCCCCGCCGGAGCTCCGTTCATCATCTACCTTCCAACTGTCTCTCGCGCCCTCCGTGCAATACCATCAACGGCCACGTCACCACCACCACAACCACCACTGCTCAGCTCTCTCTTCTCTACACTACGCGGCGCAGATCTGCCGAAACCCTAAGACCTCCAGTTCTGATCTTTGACTCCGAGCAAAGAAGAAACTGAGCTCGAAGCGTGGATGTTGGGAGGCTGTTGCGGAGAGACCGACGGCGGGTTGAAAAACGAGGAGGGCCTCAGGAGGAATTAGGGAGATGAAAGAGAAAAGAGAAGGGACGAAAGGGCGTCGGAGAATGGGACGGGAGGGGAAGCGGACCGACGAAAGGAGCGATAAAATTTAGGGGGGAGTTGGGGTTGTCCGAGTCTGTAAAAAGCACAACTGGTCAACCCTGTGAAAAATTGAGTACTACCGATCAAATAAATCAAACTCGCAAAATAAAATAAAATAAAATATGTATCTTCTAGAATTTTAGGAATTTGATGCAACGAGTGCGAACTTGTTGAAACTACTAGACATTTCAATAATAAATATTTATTATTTTATATATATATATATATATATATTATATTGACTTGGTGCTGCATTGTGCAGCGTCTGTGCGGATGATAAAAGGTGCTGCAGTGCGCAGCAAATGTAATTAGTTGAATGGTTACAATTTTTAGTTAAAAATTATGATGCTTATTCAAATTGTATGAGTATAATTAAAATGTATAAATAATCAAAATTTATTTTCTGAAAATTTTAAATAGAAGATATGTCTTTTGGGTCAACATTATTAAGAAGGGTTGTATATCTTCAACTAAAATAAAAAGACTCGATGAACGGGTGCTTTAATGCCTATAAATACCTATTGTGGTATAATGTTTCACACACAATTTCAGAAATTTATTTTTACATTCCTTGCTCTCTCTTCTCTCCATCACATTCATACAATTTCTTTCTACTTATTTATAAGCGAATGCAATTCGGTTTTGCTAATCGAATATTTCATACTTTGTTATATTCTGAAAGTGACTTACCAAGAACACTTTAGCAAACTCATTCGAGTGGGGGCAAATAACACTTTAAGGAAACGATTCAAGTTGTACCTCAAAATCATTATTCAGATTATTCTCTATATTTCTATATTTACTCTAACACATGATCAAGGTGGAAAGTTACTCAAAGTTTTTCTTTTTATAAACAAGGTTAAACAAGCCACTAATTAGATGTGTCCTCCTCGTATGTTGTTTTTAAAAGCGTTTTGTTGTAAGACTAAGATTGCAGCACTAGTTTTGATTTTCATTTTTTATATAAGTAGTGTCGACCAGCCATATATGTGATATCCCGTCCCCAAAATTATTATTTTATTTTATTATTGACGTATTTCAAAGATTTGATTGGAATTAGTTCTTTATTTCTCCAAATTTAAGAAAACGATGTGAGGGGTACTTTAGTCATTTCCAATTTTCTCGACCTGTTCGGTCAACTCTTAAATTGGTTAGGTAGAGTTTGATTTCATGAGCGCGTAGGCGTAAACAGATCTTAATTCTGAGTCTGAACGAAGAAGTTAGAGTCGTTTAAAGTTGGTGGCATTTTGGCAATATTACCAAATTGCTATAATTTAAATGGGAGGGAAACCTCCAGGAAAAAGGGGAGAATTTTTCGGAAAAATGGGGGGGGAAGAGCTGCCTAACCCGTTTTTAGGGGGAAATTGACCCATAAACCCACAAAACTTGACCCACTTGTATCTTTTTCATCCGAGGTCTGTTTTGGATGATCTTGGTGTCCATGGAAAGCTCTTGACGAGCCCTACATCTCTGTGATGTTAGATTTTCCCTTTTCTTTTCCATCTTTGCAGTTCGAGGTCTCAAAGTTCACGACTTTTCCGGCGGTTTTATCAGTTTTCCGGCGATTCCAACAACGATTTCCTTCGAGTGAGGTATGAAACTTCATCTACTCTTCGTAATCTTCAAGTGGGTATGCTTAGTTTGTGCTTTCGTATTCGTTTTAGAGTTGGATGTTTAGAATACCTAGAAATCCGGTTTTCTCCGGTGAAATTGGACAGTTTCCGGTTAGAATTTATCGTCGGCCTAGTTGTGAAAAGTGTTTCCCTTGTTGAGCTCTAGCTACCACATAAATTTGAGCTCCTCTAGTTAATGTTGAAATTCGGGGTTTGTAAACCCTCCATCTTGACTTCCACCGCGTGTGGCGGTGCGTGTGATCGTTCACGAGTGTTGTCTAGGTTTTAAATACCTTTTAGTGACCATGTGAACCTATGTCTAGCTTGGTTTCCAAAGATTCAATTGTTGGGTGTGTAGATCAAATTTCTTGATCAAGGGTTTAGTTCAAAAGGTCAATTTCTTGTTAATTTTGAGTCATGTTAGTTTTGGATGTTGTGTACATGACTTCTGGACTACCTGGAACTATTTTGGGATTTGTTATATGAATTGGAAGTGGGTTGTTACGTAAGTTGCAGAAAATTGACTTCTTTGCAAAGAAAACTCAAGTTTCGAGTAGCCTTCTTTGGCTCTTAATTTCTAGGCCTTTATATGCTCCTTTGGAGAAAATTTTTAGTGTGTTGAAAGTACATATGCTCATGATCGTAACCCAATTGTTTTCACTCAATTTCGTTGAGTTTTGGTTGATCAAAACCTTCTTTAAGTTTGGGTCACGGGCTGCCAAACAGCAGCAGAAAATTGAGTTTCCAGTTTCAAGACTCCGTTTTTCCTTTTGGCATAACTTCCAATTTAGAGCTCCGTTTTCTACAAACTTTGTATGTTTTTAAAGTACAGAACACAAGCTTCAAAACCCATATAATATCACATGATTTGGTTTAGTTTGGAATGTTCCAAAGGGAGCCTAAACTTGGTCTAATAGTGCTGTTTTCTGCAGATTTTGTGGAGAAGTAGAGTACTTTTTTCGCCACACCTATTTTCTTTTCCAGATTCCTTTCTAATCTTCTTTACTACTAATTGAGTGATATTATTTGAGTGGTAGATTCCATAATCAATGTACTTTCTTTAGATAATATTAATTTTGTTCCTTTGAAGAGCCTAATCGGAACACAAAAGTACAATCAAGAGTATAAATACAAGTAGCACACATAACTAACCAAACTAAGCTATTAAAATGTGATTCTTTTATAATTGGCCATCGATCTATTTTTATTAAATGTGGTTTGATTATGGATGGGTAATATTTGTGGGAAAGTGATTCGAATTGCATATTGAAATGTGAATTATGTATACATACGCCATAGACCCATGTTAATTAAATGTGAATTCTATTGAAGTGTTATTTTATTCTGGCCAATGATCTAATTTCAGTAAGTATGATTTGACTTGTGGATTGGAATTATGGTTTGTATTGCATGATTGGATTGATTTGATGAAATGCGAGAGCTAGTAGTGGACCATTAATCCATTGTTATGGGGTTCGTTGCTTCGAAACATGTTTCAACCCTCGTGTCATTATTCATTCTCGTTTCGTTGAGTCTTTGTATCTTGAGTAACTTGATCCATGTCTTGTTTTATCGAGTGGTGTTACACATTCTACTCCGCGATTCCGTTGAGTGATGGTCCTGAATCGTATCCTGGTTTGGATTCCGTTGAGTGATGGTCCGGAATCCTTCCTACTTCATTCCGCGATTCCGTTGAGTGACGATTCGGAATCGTATCTTGGTTTGGGTTCCGTTGAGTGATGGTCCGGAATCCCTCTTACTCCGCGATCCCATTGAGTGATGGTCCGGGATTGTATTCACCTTAGTTCATGGAGTTTAGTTTGAGATGGTTGCAAAGTGTAAGCTTTGGATGAACAGTGTCGCCTAATTCTACTTTCATTATGTGTATGTGAATATGGGTGTGAGATGTTATGGTCGTTTGAAATGAACTTTTGGATGTCTGGGTGCCTCCCTCGGAGTTTT